CCTGAGTTCATTTTTCCTCTGCTTGTTGATTCCTCCATGTTCGTGATAAAAGTGCTAAAGAGCAAGAGAAAGAGAAGGCCAATGCAGCAGGGCAGAGAAGGGAAGGAAAGCAGGTAGCCACAGGTTCCAAACCCTCAACTCTGCTCTTCAACAACAGAGTAAACATGGACAGATGTTTGAGACTTCAGGCAGATACTGTGGGAACCCAGAGAGAGGTTTGCAATCTGTTTTTCTATTAGAGTTGGGTGTCTGGTTGACTCTACACTTCTCTATGGTGGGTATCATTAAAAAGGCAGGGTTTGGCTATCATCAACTCTAGGAAAGAATACAGCAAAAGAACTATTGGAAAACAAACAGAATATTCATCACCCACAGAAACTCCTCAAAGTGGACACATCCAAAAATTACTGTGACACGTAAAATTGTTCATTATACTAGATTCTGGGGAACGGAGGTACAAGGGCACAAGGGAATGCTAGCTCACAGCATTCTTAACTAAATGAAAAGCCCCCTGGGAAAGCTAGCAGAAAACTGTGAGTAACTGACAAAAGTTACTCAGTGTAAGGAAACCTGACACCCCCTCCCCATCCTCATCATTCCTACCGAAACTGAAACAGTGGCCAGAAAATGTTCATTTCTCTCATATTAATGAGGCGAAAAATCCGAAAAACATCTAGTTTATTCTTATGATTCTAAAAAGAGTGGATGGGTATTGTCAAGAATGGTACTTGAGACTCAGTTTTACCTGGGAAAGGACTCTGCCTGAATTTCATTTTGCAGATTATGGCTAATGGTTTAACTAACCAGACTTCTACTTTGCTGGCTGACTGCTGACCACTCTATACAAAATAAAATGTGCCATGACCGAAGAATAAAACAGGATTATATGTATTGCAGCTTGAAAGCAATGCTTCTTGAGATCTAAAGCAGAGAGCGCCATATTGCTAAGCAGAGAGAATAAAGGCTCACAGTGTTCTCACAAACTTAAGATGCTGGGTCAGGTGATGGGTGGGTTTAGGCAACCATCCTCTCACCCATGACAGCAGCTGATAGGAAAGCCAAAAAGTTACCACAGAAATGAAGTAAATTGTAAAAGGCAAACAGGATTCATTGAGGAGAAAGTTCAGTAGTAAGCTAGCATGTTGGCATTTCCTGGGTCTATTCCAAGGATGGATGGGAACATTTTTGGATGGGGTACAGCTATATCCAGTACTCAGTGATTAATATATATATATTATCAAATGAATTTTATGTGGCAAACTCCTCAGGACATGGGTCACACTGGTTTGTGCACTCTGCAAACTGTCAATAAATTTTTAGGACGGTGACAGGAAAGGGCCTTCAACAGCATAGGTCTCCAGGGTGAATAAGACTACAAGCATTTTGAGATTGTCAAAATGGCATTGATGTGCTTGCTGATGTCTCTAAATGATGACACCTTGGTTGAGTCAATCAATCTTTGGGCTTGAAAATCAAAATGATCTTAACACCGGACCCAGATCCCATTCCAAGTGCTGTATATGAACATATGTTGCTACCAGAAAAAGATCTTTGGAAAAGACAACATTGGAAAATATTGAGATTCTCAAATTCATGAAATCAATAGTTCTCACCAAGGAACCCAGAGTCTTTGCTGGGGGAGCCCTGTAAAAATAAAATGGGGGTGGCTGATGTCTGGATAGAGGTTATCTATGTCAAGAAAGGACCTGTCACTTGAAGTAGTGCATGTTCAAATCTAGGTGTACTGCCTGCTTTATGCACCAGGCCACAGAGAACTCCACACAGTCTAAAACAGTCTAGAACCAGGGAAGATTACTACTCTCCTCCTCTGGTTACCTTTGGCTTGCTAGTTTGTGTGTCTATCTTTCATGCCTATGCTTGTAAATGTGTAAGACAGGAAAACAAATCAAAAGCAGCAAAACCCTCATTAGATTGTCCTCTTAACCCAAGCCAGGCAGAAAGAATCAATCGATATTTAGTACTTTGGACATATTGGTCCTAAGAAGGTAAACAATAACAATAAAACAAAAAAGAATCCTATTCGCTTTTATTTTTATCGTCACTGTTGTTTGGCTGTGGTTCATCACCATTTTTCTTTAGGGCTTTCCAAATAGTGAGTCCAATTCGAGAACTAAATGTAATTGCTCTGTGCCTCACTGGAGTACCACTATAATCCAGCAGTCAATTCAAGAAAACGAAGAGGAACATTTTCTTGGTAACCCATCTTGAAGATTTTTTTATCTCATAGATAGGCTAAGCTTAAAGTATTCTTCCATCTTAGAAGTGGATGTGAATTCTGAAACTAATCATTTTACAGGAAAATGCAACCTGTAAAGGATGGTTGTGATGTTAATTTTTCTCTATGCACAGAGAATCTACACGCAAGTCTTTGCTTAGGAGTAAAGCAGTTTATTTTCATTTCACTCACCACACGTACTTCATACTGGCATCCTTAAGATGATTATGATTTGCAAGAAGCTAGAATATACTGTTTTGCACATGGCTTTGATATTTCTATAAGGCAATAAGCTAAATTATTGAAAACTGATAGAAAAATTTGATTTCCAGGCAATCGTTTTTTCAAGTCTATTTGTTGCTAACTTACTAAAGTAGGATTCGTTGCGAAATTTATAGCTGCTGTCTTCATCTATTCAAATAAGCTTTATATTTTCAATTTGAACTTAAACCCTAGCAGGGGCAAGCTGCCTTCTAGGCTTCTACCAGAGGGTGTCTTAGCACAGAGGTGCCCCCACCCTTGTCCTCTTTCACCACCATCAAAAGATAGTGAAGGTGGGGAGGACACAGACCAGAAACAAACTTTCTGGTCCTTTACTCTCGCCTCCGCACCAGGTCTCTTTAAAAAAAAAAAAAAGGAAGGAAGGAAGGAAGGAAAGAAAGGAAGGAAGAAAGAAAGAAAGAAAGCTTTTGTTCCACAGTCTTACAGAACTCCCGTCCATACCCAAAGGTCGTAAGCTGTGTCACAAGATGGGAATTTTGGAACCTCACGCAAAAAGTCCGTAGCGATGCAATTAGGGAGCAGAAGGTGTGCAAACACTAAAGGGGATGGGGATGGCCAAGGATATAATCCTCGATGCCTGGTTTATTCTACTCCAGCCTCGGGTTCGCTAAGTCAATCTCCCACGACTGAGGACAAGAGCAGGGAGGGGGCTGGGGAACTGCTATGAACACCAGGGCCACCTGAGTCTACAACTACAGCGAAGAAGCTCGTCCGGTACAACCGGGAAAAAAAAAAAAAAAAAAAACAGTGTGTCCGTGGTTTGAAGCTTCCTGTTTGTAAGCGAGAAGCTCCCTGGAAGACTCAGGACTCGGGTTCTTCCTCCCACCGCGCTGGTGGCCAGAGGCGGAGGAGGGGGCAGGGCCGGAGGCGCTGGGCGGTCCCCGGGGCTGCGCAGGGCCGCCAGGCGGACAAAGCGCCTCCCGTTCCCTCCCCCCACGGCCGTGTTCCAAAAGGGCTGGGAGGGAGGGCGGAGGGGGGAGATGGAGAGGGAGAGGAGGATAGAAGGAGGGCGCTGCAGGCGGGACTGGGCTGGAGCGCGCAGAAGAGGGAGGGCAGGGAGGAGGGGCCAAGGAGAGCAGGGAGGAGGGAAGGATTCTTGAAGCCCAAGATAAACAAATTGTTCCTCTTCACGTGCGGGGTGGGGGGTGGGAGAGCACTAGCTCCGATGTCTCCCCTCCCCCACGCCGGCTCTTTGTCACCGCCCGCCCGCCCAAGCGCCCGGCGACACTGGCACCACCCCTGGCGCTCCGAGATCCGGAACGTGCGCGAAGCACTGAGGGCACACGGAGTGGGCGTCCCGCGCCTGGCTCCCGGCTTCATGCAGCCGATGGAGGCGCGGTGGGGAGCGAGGGCGCGCTCTTAGGAGATGGCCATTACCGGGCCCCCGAACCCGGAGACACAGTGGGGGGAGGGAGTGCAAACACCTTCCCTTAGCTTCCTGCCTCCCCCTCTTCCTCTCCCAAGGAGGAAAGCGAGAGAATCTCGGAGTGGAGATAAGAGAAAGGATTCCACCCTCCCGGTTAGGGGTGGGATCGGCCCCTTCCTCCCCCTAGCACTTAAGCCATTGGCTGCGCATCCTCCCGCGAACCCACCCACCCGGCCATTTAAGCCTTTCTCCGGCTTGCTCCCCTCCACTCCTCCGGGCTCATTACCCGGTGTCGGAAAGTTGGCGGAGAACGGGGTGGGGGCAAGTTGAGGAAGAGGATGGGGAACAATTCCAAGCCTTGCGGCAGTGGCAGAGTCAGGGCGCAGATCTAGCTTCCTCGCTCCCGCCCAGCCACGTCCTTCTCGACCCCTCGCGGCTGCCCCACCTGCCCTGCCTCAGCCGCAGGTCTCCAGCGGCGAGCGCAGCGCTCGCGCGGCCGGCATCCGCGCGCCTCCCCACGAGCACGCGCGCGCAGCCACCCTCGCTCTCATCTCTCCCACTTCAAAGTTCATTCACAAAACTCTCAGACTTTCCCAAGCCCAAAGGAGAGGAAGCCAGGGACTCTTCCTTTGCCTCCTAAGGGTTAAGGGCCTGGTGCCCACTCAGAATGTGAGACAGCATCAATTTCTCCCTGCAGCCGGCGGATGTGATCAGAGGGGTGGGCAAAAGGGGACCGATCTGGGGAGGCGCGGTGGCACGGCGAGAGGTTAAGGCGGGGCGCGGAGATGAGCAGCGTGGTTTCTACTCCCCGGTTCACTCTCATTTGGATTGGTTTCTAAGACAAGGAGGGGGAAACTTTTCCTGCACCTCACTCCAACGCTCCTGAAGCTCCCTCCTCCCCTTGCAGTCGTGACTGGCTTCTCTCATCCCCTCCTCCCCAAACCTGACAACCCTGACAGATTAACAGGTAGCGGCGTCAACGACAGCGTTTACCCTGAGAAAAAGTTGACGTTAACCCTTCGGCTCCATCCCACCTCACTCACCCCCGGTGCAAATCAGACCCTCACAACCCCACGCTAGAAACTCCACGCCCCCGACCCCAACGCGCGCCCTCACCATGATCAGCGTGTGGTTCCTCTGCTCCGCCGAGGCAGCCTCCGCATCTTGCTGGGCTTTGCTCGGGTGCTGTTGCTTGCCGGTGCCGGCGCCCGATTTCTTGGCCCTCTGCTCCAGGGTCCGCTGGTAGAGGCTCACGGTGTCCCGGCGCTCCAGCTCCAGCTGCTCCACCTGAGCCTGCTGATACCTGTTCTCGCAGTTGACGTGGTGCCGCCGGCAGCCCTCGATACGCTGCCGGAGCCGCTCGACCACCGTGCTGTGCTTGGGGACGGCCACCGAGCCGCCGCCGGGGCCCCCGGAGCCGCCGCAGCCGCCGGCAGCGGGGTGACTGCCACTCGGAGCAGCCGGAGTGCTATTGGGAGTATTCACGCCGATCCCGGCCCCGCCGAGGTTGCTGCTCAGGCTGCTGTTGATGCAGATACTACTACCATTCGCGGCAGCAGCGGGGGCTGCGAAATCCCCCATCCTGCTCCCGGGGCACACTATTTTGGAAGAACTTTTTTTTTTTTTTAAATCCACCCCCCTATCAGCCTCCTCCTTGGGTCCAAGGATTAAAATAGTTTAAGTGGAACGCGGGGGAGACGCAAGCACATGGATGAAAACAGCGATCCCCACGGGGCGAAAAAAAGGGGGGGGAGAGATTTTGGGGAGGTTTTTGTTGTTGTTTCCTTTTAAAAAAACTGAGGAAAGAGGGGGTGTTATCGGAATACCATCAGACACCTATCAACAAATAGAATCCCAACAAACTGAGCAGGCAGCAGATCGGCTTGCAACTCAAGGGGAGATCCGCTCCTCTCGCCTGCCTCCTTTTAATAATCCATTATTTTCTAATAAATTCCAGGAGGTTTCCGGTGGTTGGCAAGCATTTTCTCCCTACGTACCGAAAAACACACCCCATGTACACACACAAGCGTGTGCCTCCAGTGCGGACACGCGCGACACACACTCACTCCACGCCGCATCGGAAAACGGCGAGCTTGCTTATTGCATTTTCCTTCCACAAAAAAGTTTTGGTGTTTATGCCGCCCCGTGTTCTCAAAGAACTTTGGCTGCTCAGTTGCATTTCACAGGAGCCTAGACATCGAGTCCTCGGGCTGGGGCAAGTAAACACATGGACAGTCCGAGGCGACTGCAAAAGTAGATCGCTGAAGTCCTTTGCGAAACGCCGCGCGGAGAGCAGCCCCTAACGCTCGGCCAGGCTGCCGCTGCCGCCGCCGCCTCCGCCACCATCACAATGATCAACTGCTCGCCGCCGCCGCCTCCTCCTCCTCCTCGCGCTCCTCCACCTCCTCCTCCTCCTCCATGCCAGCGGAGTGATATCAGGACGCGCGAGCTCAGTAAACACGGCAGCGGCGGCGGCTGGAGGCCGTGAGACGAGCCCGGGGACCCGGCGCAAAACCCGGCCCGGACTCTCCCCGGGCGGGAGCGGGCGCGGCGCGCACCTACCCTGCTCCCGCCTCCCTTGCCACTCCCCCCACCACGCACACCCGCCGCCCTCCCCGTCCCCAGCCCAGCTGCTCCCCGGGCTAGAAAGCACGACCTGCCAGGAGGAGGGAAAGCAAAGATTGGGGGGGGGGGAATCTCAGGAGTGGATCACCTTTTGACCCGCCCGCGCGCGCACACGCGCGTGTGTGAGTGTGTGTGTTCATGCGCGTGCGCGCGCGTGAGTAAGAGAAGCGCGCGTATGTGTTGTGCACGCGCGAGTGCGCGGGGACGCGCCAGGCTGGCTGCGTTTCCTCCTGCCCAGCGAGGTATCCAGCGAACCCAAGTTGTTGTTATACATTTATGCATTATATTGCAGAACTGTGCATGACCAGGCAGAAACATTGCAGCTTTCCGGCAGCTGTCATTCCCACCCATGTGGAACGAAAAAGGCAAATGAGTGACTTGTTTTTAAAACCCAGGGAGTAAGTAAGTCCTTGCTAGTGGTGAGGAACTCTTGTTCAAACTCTGGAACCTTCTTAACCCAAATACTTAAATTTTTTTTTTCTTACTACGTTTATTTATTTAATGGGTAGGGGCTGGCGAGTAGTGCCTCAGCGCTCGTAGAAATCAGATGACAACTCGTGGAAGCTTTTTCTTTCTTTCAAAGTGGGTGGATACCAGGGTTTGAACTAAGGTTGTCAACCTCCTGAGCAGTCACCTTCACCTTACTGGAAATCTCATCAGTCCCAAACTACCGAATTTTCAGTGAATAGAAATAAGCAGTGTGTGGGGGGGAAACCTTGGGATATTATTTATTTCTCTGCAGATAACGACTGTTGTTATTAGAGCGATTATTGTTTTACTTACCCTTGAAAAAATTAAAACCAAGCAAGCAGGGACTTGGAGGTGAGACTAACAGTATATTTTAACAGACTGTTTTGAACAGTAGGTGCTAATGACAGCAGTAATTAAGGGTCCTTTGTAAATCAAGTGGAAAGATTGCAGATTTCATGCATTAGAACTATAGGGAAAGCAGCATTTCACAGTTTGTTGTGACCAAAACAAAAACAACCAAGAAAAAAAAAAGTAGGCTTACCTTATTGCTGAATATATTTCTTCCTATTTCAATAGAATCACAGTAAGTACAGCTGGAATGGAGTAGCAGCTGCAGAAAAGTCATCTCAAGATTCACTTTATTATCGAAAACTATCTACTCAGACATTCAATATCTGACAGGAAAAAGGTTCAAACCTCCTTGGCTCAGATGTACACCATTTTAGAGCTACTTTTGCAAAAATGAAAATGTAGGAATTGCTAATATTTCTGGGATCCATAGCTCACAGACCTCACTGATGAGACGTGTTTGAAAAGGCATTTTGTGTTACCTCAACACATCAATGAATTTTGGAGGGGGTAGGATAAAAAACTTTGAACCTTATTATTGTGACAAAACTTTTTCTGGGGAGATGCAGCACCCATGTCTATTCAACCCAGAGAGGACCCACCACAGACAAACATACAAATATCACCAAAGTCCAAGTTGGTAAACCAATGAGTTTTATTTCAGTTACTTATGGGAGTATATGGGTGAGGGGTTACTTACAGGAGCAGAAATGACTCAAAGACAGCTGAATCACCAAAACCTACCCAACACAGGTGACAGCTCACAAAGCTGGGAACCTGGAGACACAGCCTGCAGGTAGCTCAACAAATTGGAGGGTGTCTTTTCCAGTAGGTACCTCAGTCCATCTAAACCACTTCCACGTAGCTAGGTTGCTTCCTGCTTCTTCCAGGCAGCTGGTCTGAGCCCAATCTTGGTTTGTCTGAGTCATTTTTACAAGTCTGAGGGGGACACTCAGTTTTTATTGCCTACTTTGCCTGGGAGGGTCCTAATTAATCTGGTCAATTTCAGGGACTTCCTGAAGCTCTTTTGAGATATTTATCTTCCTGTTTGAGGAGCTTCCCTGTAGAAAAGAATGTTTCAATCTCAGAGAAACTGTTACACACTTATGCATTAGGCATGAGGTCTGATTTAAACTCTCTTCATTTCTTGGTTTTGCTGATTAGCAGAGATGCTATTTCTAACCTCATAATACCAGTGATATGGAGCTTTGGTTTTCTTCAGTTAATCAGGTCTATATGGTGAACTGTATCTTTAACATCCACTAAATCATTTGGCTTTTAAAAGGGGGAAGCAAACTATTCAACCTAGTGTGAAGAGGATCTCCTTTTAAAGTCACCTTCCTTTTCTGAAATCCATCTAATTAATACACAGCCCCTCAATGTCAGCCAGAAGTCTAATCCAAGGGTTTGACAAACTTCCTCAGCAGTTAAGAGCACTTCCTGTGCTTACTGAGGACCAGGGTTTGGTTCCTAGCACCCTCAGGGCAGCTCCAAAGGCTCTGACACCCTACTAGCCTCTGCAGTCACCAGACACACATGCAATGCATGCAAAATAAAGAAAAATAGGCATATATTTTAGAGAAAATTAAACCCAGTGAGTTACATACAAAAGAATCCGTTTGCAATCTAAAAACATGTAGAACATGGAATTGCAAGGGAAAGGGATGGAAGGGTACCCTTCTGGACATACTCACGAAGCTGTCTATGCCCCCAGGAAGCTCACAGCTTCAGCACAGGGGAGGCTGTGGCTCTACAGTCTCTTTTCTCCCCACACCTAACCCGCTTACCTATGTCACCAAGTCAAGACTGCAACATGATCTTATTCAGGCAAGAAATTGGAGGGTCTGAAGCATGGGGTCTGTGGTTTTGAGACATTGAAACCCGTTCTACTTTTTCTTGTAACTCAGACTTTAATTTCTTTTTTTCATGGAGAATTTCTCTTTCTGCAGAAACACAAAATAACAATAATTACAGCATTATGGATTCCCATAAGTTAATTATCTCATTTATCATAAAAATGAAACTGAAAGCACATGGAAATTTGCATCTCTCCCTTTGGGAGACCAGTGTATAGAGAAGCGTACTTTGTGACTGTACCCAAGAGCTCCCCAATGGCAGGTAGAGCTATGCTTGCTTGGTTACAGCAGTTCCGTCTGATTTTAGTGTATGATGTGGGCCACATTCAAAAGAACAGACAGTTCATAAAATCTCTCACACACACAGGATTACCCACCTCTTCTAAGTGGTGGGAATGTCAGTCACAAGTAGATGTCTTTGAGAACATCAACCTGGATGGTACTCTGTTTGTCCTAGAGGTCAGAAACACCAGAAAGTGAGCAGGATTGGAGAACTGAACAACAAAGGCCAGTCCCCATGCAGTAGTGATGCTCTTCTACTATAGTGACCTCATCCAAAGTGGAGACCTTTGTCCTGGCTGTTTGTAGACTTTCTGGTGCACCCCTGCAATGTTGCCAAAATGTCTCCTTGGAAGTCTTAGAAGCCAAGTTCTTCAGGCAGTAATTTCAGTCCTCTCTCATTATTGGGTTTTGACAGTGTGTCCAAATTTGTGTTTTGTTTGTGCATGCTGTAGAGCAAATCTTCAGAGATGTGGACTCACCAGCAATGCTTCATGGAATGGAAAAATACAAAGTAAGCTGAGATGCTCCAGGTGGTGGTGGCACATGCCTTTAATCCCAGAACTAACAAGGCAGAGGCAAGTGGATCTTTGAGTTCAAGGCCATCTTGGTCTCATAACAAGTTCCAGGATAGCCAGGGCTACACAGAGAAACCCTGACTCAAGGGGGATAAAAAGGAATCTGAGGTGCTAGAGGAAGAATGAGGAAGTTGTGAAGCCTGTGATGGTTTGGGGCCCAGAAGGATGGCTCAGTCAGTGAAGTGCTTGCCTTACAAGCATGAGACCTGAGCTTGATCTCCAGCACCCACATACATGCTGGGAGATGGGAGGATACTTCATTCTGGCTGGCTAGCCAGTCTAGATTTTAATTAGTAAGCTCCAGGCCAATGAGAGATCCTGTCTTGAAGCAACTGGGCATCATTACTGAGGTTGACATTCAAGGTTGTCTTCTGGCCTCCACATGTGTGTGGGGTGACTATAGTTGTATCCTCCCTCAGACTTTGATGATAACTGTATAGATACCAACAAGACAAGGGTGTGATGATGATTATGCACCTATAAGAGGTTGTCCTGTAGCTCTGGCCTTGAGCCCCAGCTGGCATTTCCAAGAACTAAATCACATTCTCTTTCCTTTAGTCAACTCTGTATCTGGCCGTGTCTCTTTGATAGGACCCCAGTGATCTAGTAACAAGGCATCTTCACATTCAGTTCATAGACCACTCTGCATCTCCATTGTCAATGGACCAATAAAAGTGTCATTGTATCAAAAAACAAACAAACAAACAAAAAAAAAAAAAAAAAAAAAAAAAAAACAGGACTTTGGTGACTAAGTGCCATAGGGAGACTGCTGCTTATGTACAAAAAAGCAAAAAAAAAAAAAAAAAATTTTTTTTTGTAAGTCTTCAATGGAGTGCTGCATTCCTGGAATCCTAGCCAACTGTTTAGCAATACTACTGTTTCAATAATCCCACAAGTATGTGGTGGCTGCCTGTGTACCACGCACCATGGTAGGTACTGAGCACATAGCATAACAGGGTGCAGAACACTATCTTGACCTCAGTGGATCAGGGCAATGGGTGTTGTGGCAGGACTAAGATGGAGAGGGTATGGGGGCCAAGGAAATACTCAGAGGCTCAAGGAAGATTTTCCAGAAAAGTCCACCAGTAGTTCCCTCCCACAGGCCTGTGAGTATGAGAGATGTGTGATGAGAGATGAGGCTGAGGCCCAAGAGATAAACAAGAGTCAGATTTTTCAAGGCTATCCAGAAGTTCAGAGTCTCCATGGGACTCCATGCACTTTGGAAAAACTCCAGTGGATTCACACTTCTTACTGAGGTTGTTTTCACAAGTGTGCTCTGGAAATCCCAGTTCTGCCAGATGCTTCACCAGAAAAGCTCCTGAGAGCCAAGTAAGTTTAGGACATGGTCACCTGAATCTCTCTTGAAGATTCATTACTGCCTTGATGGGCCCAAGAAACCT